ATTGAAACCTCGAAGAAGTCATAAACCCTACAAGGAATGATCCAAACACTAATCTGAAGTGTTGAGAGAAAGAGGAGATCGGGGCAACACCAGATCTAGGGTTCCACAGAAGTCCAAATGAGCAGGAGTGAGATCTGAATCAAAATACAGATCTGGTACCATGTCCTTGCACAGCAAACAGCAGCAAAAGGACTAATCAGAACAGTCCCTAAAAAAACTGATATCTCCAAATAAAAGGACAAGGAATTGGCCTTCTATTTTCCTTAAAAAGAAGCAATTAACAGTGGGAAAGAGGGCCTTTAGCAAATCCAGATTCGAATTGGCTCTGATGCCATGTCAGAGCCTGTTTGAAAGAGACAAGGGAATCTGAAAAGGGTGTGTCAAGCAATATCACACGCCCAGAAAGATTTGTATTATATATCAGAGGATTACATAAAAGAGAAAAGACTATTGTACCATCTCAAATACAAAAGAAAAGACTATGTAAACAAAGAATGAATAAATGATACTGTACATAAGTTACAAGATAAGATAGTGCTCCCAAATAAGTCAGCCCAATAGTATCTCTACATGATGTGGTCTGCTGCCCTTGAAAAAAGTTTAACTAAAGATGGCCTGCATAGAAAAGGGTTGCAGATTCAAGACCAAAGTTGTGTTCTGTGGAGGCAGGATCTGGAAACTTCTAATCATCTTTTCATTCACAGCCAAGTGGCTGACCAGATCTGGTTGCACTTTGTTAAGGCATTTAACCTAAGCTGGACAATCCCAGCCTCCCTGTAGAAGGTACTGCTTGCTTTGACTTGAATGAATCAGAACTGCTGCTGTGTAATCTGAGAAGGGACACACAGGTTTGAAGAGAAGGAGAGAGAGAGAGAGAAAGAAGAGTGGAAGGAAGAGAAGAGGGAAAGAAAGAAGGGGTTCAGTTGTTGATATCTGCCACCTCATACTTTTTATTATTTATAGCCTTTGATTCTTTACAAGAACAGGAGAGAAACACAAAGTCCTAGTCCTAGTCCTAGTCCTAGTAAGACAACATAATATGGATAAACATAATAAGGCCAGCCGGCCCAATCTTAAAAGAAAATAAAAATTACTAGGAAATAAAAAATAACTAGGTGTGGGTATGGAACCACACACACTAGAGCCTGAGTGTGGGTATGGAACCCCACACTCGTGACTTAGTAACTATTTCTTCACATTGCACCTCCTTGGGATGAACTCTAAAAATAATTTGGGAGCTGATTCCTGCAACTATAATTTGGACAATATGATCTGAAAGGAACAAAAGAATTTTCAAGAACGAAGAAAAGACTGTAGAAGAGCTTATTAATCTGTCCATTGGCAAAAGCCAAGATCTACCATGCCTGAGATGGTTACAAGATCTGACCAGTCTCTAAATGAAAATAAAGATTAAGAAATAAACAACGATGAAGTGTAACCAGAAACTTCAACATTTCCAGAATTACGCCTGAAATGTCATAAAGAGAGGAGAAACTCAAACTACATATACACCTATTTTTCTAATTTCTAGTTTTCATAGACCTTAAGACTCTACAATCCTCTCAAAACACATAACCAGGTCTCTGTTAAGAAAATATGAATAAATAATGTAGATCCCATACAGATACGTCAGTTGCATATAGAACTAAAAATACACCTAATTTAACTTTTTTTATAAAAGTTTCTAATTCAAATTAGAGAGGTAGTTCACATCATTTAATCACAAAAATAAAAAATAAAAAGTTTCCAAAGTCAAGTTAAAAACCCAGCCTATAGGCTTTTAGACTTACCACATAGATTATAGGTACATAATTTAACTTTCAAGTCAAATAAAGAATCCCAACCCAAAGAGTTAACCTAATTTAGTTTCCCATGTTAATTAAAAAACTCATCCTTAAGACTTCTAGGACCTTTTAGGTAGATAGTAGGTGTCATATAAAATACATAGGGTTACAACAGGACTAGATCATTAACAATACTAATAAAAAATTGAGAAGCCAAGAGTCCTAAGTTACCTCTTCCAAAATCCATATTAAATTCCTGTTATAGAAGAAAGTATGTCATTGAAAGTTAAACATTTTCCAAACCCATCAAAGCTTAATATACTAAAACTGCACTGACCTGTAATTTGACAAGAAGCCTACTTATTTGTTAAATTGACACATTTGGACATCATAATATGATAATATTACAAATACATCATGAGAAAAATAGGTATTTTTTATGGCAAATGAGAAAAATAGGCATTAGACTGAGCATATCTTTGTATTATACCAATATAATCAGTTTGGAACAACCAAAACCATTCCTGGCCCAATTATAATCAGAATGAATAATGCAGACTTGGACCCTAGCAAAACAAGGGGTTAGTAGGGAACTTTTATTTTGGGCTCAGTTGTTATCTTTTTTTTTATTGGAAACGGTAACTTCATTAAATAACTTTAAAAATAACTTTCCAGATTTAAGTCCAGCTGTCAACCCATGAGCAGGAGTTGAGCCCCCAGTAATCTTTCTTACAGAACTGCCCAGAACATACTCTCCCTCACAGTCCCTTGTTTAGCCAACATGTCAGCTAAACCATTAGCTGATCTCCTTGTCCATTTGAAGCATGCACAAATCTCCCTTGTTATATTATGGATTTCCCTTATGGGCTTGTTAGACAGTGTATGCCCTTACCTCCAATCAGAATGATGTGCATTATGACATTTAATGTAAATGAATAAAGTACATATTTGGTTCATGTTATTATGATGTGTTTCTGTGTAATACTCTTAAATTGGACACTTATGAAACTCGTGTTAGTTTAGAATCTTCACAGTCGTTTGATAGATCTGGGGAGATTTATCCTGTCAAGGCTGACACTGATGTGCCGCCTAGTTGGTTGGGGTGACTTGTCTCAGTTGCCAGGGTGAGACCTGAGGTACATGCAGTATGGGTTTTCTTGAAACCCTGAACCGGACTAGAATTCCAGTATTGCCTTGGACCTTGGAGATAGATGGGCAAAACTGGATTGTTACACTTGACCCCTAGACTCGATTATGGTACTGCACTAGGTGTTGGATTGGGTTGTCTTTGATATGCCAATCAGTGAGATCCTTATAGGGGGTCAAAACTTGGGTATGTTGGGACAGTCCGAGAATTCATCTGAGTGGGTGATCATAGTGACAGGATCAACCCCTTTGTCGGACAAAGTGAATGATCAGGGATGCACTCTCTGATGGAAACCAAAATTGTTGGCAGTTGATTTCAGCCGTTGAAATTTGTTTTGCAAAATATATTTATATAGAGAT